TTTTTTTTTAACTTTTTGGAAATGGAAACAAATTTTATAACCAATTGTGGAAAAAAATATCACTTTAATGGACAATTTCTATGTAAAATAAAGCCAAACGAATAGAAAATTTTAAAATTTTTCTAGTGAAAAATTATACCAATCAAATACACTTAATTAACAATTCCCTATAAAACAATTTCTAAGAAAATCTTTTCCCTGTAAAATATTTCCTTTTCACCAATTTTCCACCCTTACAATCAAACACACCCTTATATTTATGACCTCGAAATCAGTTCAAATCTAATAAAATCGTTCGACATCATTTCTTAACCTACAAATTATTAGGAATTTAGAAATTGTGTAAATTTTGGTCAACATAATTTGTGATAATAAACTTCTTAACTTCAATTTCACTTGAAAAACAAGTTTACATTTTGCAAAACGCCTAAACACGCTATCGTTGGTACCACACATTTGTATGGGACCATAGCTTACAAACCATGAACTTATTCATCAAATATGTCCATGAGTAACTTCAAATTTATTTAAAGTTTCAAAATTTCAATTTGTTTGGTTATGCTTGTACGTGAAGAAGATCTAATGAATTCAAAAGTAATGGTTAATATTGTCAACTTTATAAATAGATAGAATTGAGTGATAAATATGTGAATTCGTTGGAACGTGTAATAGAAGATGAAGTTTGACAATTTATCAATAATTTACAAATTTACCCAAACAGAGCATAAAGAATACGTTTGCATTCGTATTGGTGATTCGACAACTCGACCCTAGACATACAGTCACGTACTCTTGATGATGCGATAAAAATTATGCAAGTTGTCTATCTTTCTATGGTCGAGAAAGGTATACATTTAATGAATCCTATTCATCTCTTTAGCGAATTACGGTTTCAACAAGTTCATGCATGCTATTCTCTACATATTATACGAATAATTTATTTCTTTGTCGTTCTTAAGAGTTTTCGTATCATACCAAACATGCCTTCTACTAACTTGAAAACAATCAGAAAATAATATTCAATTGCAAATTATGGAAAATATAGTATCGTAATGATAAGTGTGGACGAAAATTATATTTTTAGTAAATTTTAATAAAAGTTTATAAATTTTATGGTTGAAAAGCTGTGATTTCGTCAAAATTAAGCTGATTTCACTTTATACGAAGTTTTTTTAAAAAAAAAATCAAAGCAAAACAGTCAAAATTCAGTGGGACCGACACGCATATGCCAACTGTACTCATTTCCCTCTTCTTCACACGCCAAAATTCACCGTCTTCTTTTATGGCAAAAACACACACTACACGCAGCAGCAACAGTACTTTCCAAGATTCCAACCCTTTCTCCTCCATTTTCGCCGTTTCATCTGCTCTCAAAGAACCCTTTTTCCCCCACCCACCCACCCCACTCCGTCCCTTTTTCTTTCCTTGCTCTAAAAACCCAAATTATCTTTCCCCTTGCGTAAAATATTCACCCTAGTCAGAAGAGCAATAATTCTCTGGGTTCTTTGTTCTGTTCTGTTCTGTTCTGTTCTGTCATTTTCTTTTCTTTTTTTCTTTTCTTGTTTTTCCTTCTCCATATGTTAGTTGTGTTAAAAATCCGCCGTCTGAATTGAAGGAAATCGACATGGGTTCTTTTTCTATGGTGTCAAGATTAATTTTGTTGTCCTTTTTTTCGTTCTTGGTCACAACTGGGAACTCCCAATCTGGCGATGCTGCAGTTATGCAAGACTTGAAGAAGAGCATAAACGCGCCTAGTTCGCTCGATTGGACTGACCCGGATCCCTGCAAATGGATGAAAGTGCAGTGCTCTAAAAATGATAACCGGGTCATCCGGATCCAAATTGGGCGTCAGGGTCTTAAAGGGTCTCTTCCACCTAACCTCAATAAGCTCACTTCTTTACAGTATTTCGAAGTTCAGTTTAATGAACTCACTGGGTCACTTCCGAGTTTCGCCGGTTTGTCATCGCTCCAGTCCCTTCTGCTCAACAACAACAGTTTCACCTTCATACCGCCGGATTTCTTCAACGGTATGACATCATTACAGCAAGTTTACTTGGATTATAACCCCTTTTCGTCCTGGACAATTCCGGATAATCTTAAGAGTGCTTCAACTTTGCAAACGTTTTCAGCAACTTCTGCAAATATTTCTGGGCCATTGCCTGATTTTTTTGGGGGCGGTACATTTTCGAGCCTAGTAAATTTACATTTAGCCTTCAATTATCTCGAAGGCCCTTTACCGTCCACATTGTCTGGCTCATCCATACAGTCTTTATGGTTCAATGGTCAGAAAAGTAATTCAAGATTGAACGGTTCTATCGCTGTTTTACAAAACATGACGCAATTGACTCAGGTTTGGTTGCACGGAAATTCATTCTCAGGACCCTTACCAGACTTTTCAGGCTTCACCCAGTTGCAAAATTTGAGTTTAAGGGATAATAGTTTGACAGGCCCGGTGCCAACATCTTTGCTTGGACTGAAATCACTGATGGTGGTGAATTTAACTAACAATTTGTTGCAAGGGCCAACCCCGGAATTTGGCAATTCAGTGCAGGTGGATATGACGGAGCAAACTAATAGTTTCTGTTTATCTGCTCCTGGAGTTGAATGTGATTCCCGTGTTAATATTTTGCTTTCCGTGGCTCGGGATGTGGGGTATCCTAGAACATTTGCTGAGAACTGGAAAGGGAATAGTCCATGTGCATGGATAGGGATCACTTGTAACGGTGAGAACATTACTGTGGTCAATTTTCAAAGAATGAGTCTCACTGGAACTATTTCCCCTAATTTTTCGGAGATCACATCACTGCAGAAGTTGCTTTTGGCTAATAATAACTTGACTGGAACTATTCCAAATGAGCTAACCAGCTTGCCCAATCTTAATGAGTTGGACGTTTCGAATAATCAGATTAATGGGAAAATTCCAAAGTTTCGGAGTAATGTACTTTTGAAGACTACTGGAAATGTTGATATTGGGAAGGATGCTCCACCTACAAATTCCCCTGGTGGGAAGCCCTCTGGGAATTCACCTGGATCGTCTTCTGGGGGAGGTAGAGGAGCAGAGGGTGCTGGAGAAAAGAAATCATCCAATGGAGTGCTGGTGGGATCAGTGATTGGTGGTGTTTGTACACTTGTCTTTGCTGGGGCTTTAGTTTTCTGTTTTTACAGAACTAAACGCAAGCGTTCTGGTAGAGTACAGTCTCCTCATGCCCTAGTTTTACATCCTCGTCACTCAGGGTCAGAAGATGCTGTCAAGATTACTGTTGCTGGTTCAAGCATTAACAGTGGGACAAGCGAGCCTTATAGTCATGGAAGCAGTGGTCCAAGTGATATTCATATTATTGAGGCTGGTAATATGATTATCTCTATTCAGTTGCTGAAAGAAGTGACGAATAATTTCAGCGAAGAAAATATACTGGGAAGAGGTGGATTTGGAACTGTCTATAAAGGGGAGTTGCCTGACGCAACTAAGATAGCAGTTAAGCGGATGGAATCTGGAGTGATGAGTGAGAAGGGTTTGGACGAGTTCAAGTCTGAGATTGCTGTTCTTACGAAAGTTCGACATAGGCATTTAGTTGCACTTTTAGGATACGGCTTAGATAAAACTGAGAGGCTGCTTGTCTACGAATACATGCCTCAGGGGACACTCAGTAGGTATTTATTTAATTGGAAGGAAGAAGGTTTGAAACCACTAGAATGGACCAAAAGGTTAACCATTGCTTTGGATGTGGCCAGAGGTGTTGAGTATCTACATGGTTTAGCGCAACAAAGTTTTATTCATAGGGATCTGAAACCATCCAACATACTCCTGGGAGACGATATGAGGGCTAAAGTTGCAGATTTTGGACTTGTTCGTCTTGCTCCGGATGGGAAAGCCTCACTTGTTACTAGATTAGCTGGAACCTTTGGTTATCTTGCACCAGAATATGCAGGTGCAAGTTTCTTGCTCTTAAATTACCTTGGTTTATTTGTTTATCATTGTATGATGCAATCCAATTAGTAATCGATTAAACTTCTCGCAATTGTTTCTATCTAGATTTGCAAGTTTGGTTACTGTAGCTGGTCATTTATACGATAATTCAATCTTGGGTTGGTATCGGCGATCGAAGTTTCGCTGCATTTGCTTGAGATTTGTTGAGTTGAAATGCTGTTGTGTTTACATCGAGTTCGTCCCTTGATACACATTTAGATCTCTTGTGCCCTTTGTCATGCGATTGTAAATGTGATATTGCTGCTTTCAAGTTCTCTATGTTTCTTTGGGTGTGTTTGATGGATATTATTTTGGAAGAATGTATTTTGGAATAGTAGATTGATGGAGAATGTGTGGTTGAAAAATAAGGAAAAGTTATTGATGCGATGGAAAATATTATTTTAATGAAGAATGTGTGGTTGAAAATGAGTAGAAGAATGAGAATAAAAATTTTAATGGGTACCAAACACAATGAAATCGAGACATTAAATTAGCTGCATTGTCAATGTTGTATATTTGCCCTGTATGATAGTTATGTAGCGGCTTTTAAGGATAGAAAATTTAACTTTTGCAAATAGTTTTGTCTATTTTGTATGTATATTTTTACATCCTAAGAATAATTTATTCTTGTTTTTGGACAGTGACGGGCCGAGTGACTACTAAGATTGACGTCTTCGGCTTTGGTGTGATTCTAATGGAGATGATCACCGGAAGAAAAGCTTTAGATGAAAACCTTCCGGACGATAGACAACATCTCGTCCCATGGTTTCGAAGGGCGCTCCTCGACAAGGACCAGTTCCGTAAAGCCATTGACCCAACACTTGATCTGGATGAAGAAACTCTTGCTAGTATCAACACAGTTGCTGAGCTGGCAGGTCACTGCTGTGCTCGGGAACCTAATCAGAGACCCGACATGGGTCATGCCGTCAATGTGCTTTCGTCGCTTGCTGAGCTCTGGAAACCAACGGAACCTACTGATCCAGACGATATATATGGAATTGATTATGATATGACATTACCTCAAGTAGTCAAGAAATGGCAGGCTTTGGAAGGAATGAGTGGCATGGATGGTTCGTCCTCTTACCTTGGTAGCACTGATAACACTCATTCGAGTATACCCACTCGGCCATCTGGGTTCGCAGATTCTTTTACATCTGCAGATGGTCGATGAGATTATGATTAGCTGAAATTGAGCAAAAAATTGGTGTAGAGATTTGGTTGTTAATTCCTCCGTTTTATCTTTGGATTTTCCTCCCTCCTCTTATCTTGCCTTGTGATCTTGGATTTTAGTACTTTGTTGGAGATGTTTTATTGTAATATACCAGAATTTAATCCCTGCATTTTCTTCTTAGGCAATTTTGAAACACACACACACATTAAGGAGTTTTTATTTTCTCTCAGGAAGACTGATATTGTTACTTGATGCTCTTCCCCTAGTTGATATGTTTTCTTGCAGTTTTTCGAAAACCGAAGAGACTCGACTCGACCAAACCAAAAAACTAAGTACTTGGATAATTTTGGTTGATCGGCCCTATCAACCTAGAACTGTGGGCTTGTTTGATAGAGTTTTTGAAAAGTCGAATGTTGCTTCTGTGACTAAGAGCTGTTTTTGAACGTATGTGAATAATCTTGGGAAGTGCGTTGTTTGGTTAAAAGAGATTTTTTTAAAAATTGTTTTAATGTAGCTTTTTCAAAAAAGTACGATTCATATGAAACGGGGTCTTAGTGAAGTATGAATTTCATCTAGGTTCCATTTTTTATTTTTTTTTAAAAACATAAAAGAATTATTAAATCTGGTTAGTGCCATACATGATGCTAGTAGAGGCCAATGTGTCACGTAATTAATTGCTAAAATAATAGGGAGGATCGTCATTTCGTTTTGTCGTTTATTTATTATAGTGAGTTCAGTAAACTAAAAGTAATAATCAAATAAGCAATTAATTAGTGTGACATAAAACTCATACAGCTCATGCGCACCCTATAAATGTCTGATTTTATTACAGAATTGGCACGTAGTGTTTATAATAATGTATTATTAATTAATTATGAGATGATGGGACAAATGTATGATAACGATTGGTTGTGGATATGCTTGCCAGCTTATGCTCGATAAATTGACTGCAAGTTGGTGTGGGCATTTAGTGCCAATTAATTTGTATTGGTGTATTTTTTAAGCTATCTCTTGGGCTATTTGGAAGTCAAAAGGTTTCGATTTATTTATGCTTAGAATAATAGAATAGATGCTAAAATTGTGATTTAGGCTCCGTTTGGGAGTCATTCATTCTTCAAATAATACATTTTTTCTTTCACATCAAGTGGGGTCCGTGGCTGGAAAGAGACAAAAAAGGGGTGTGATTTGACGTAAAGAATGCATTTTTTTGTAGAAAAATGGTTATCAAATGGAGGCTTAGTTTCGTTCTTATGATATGATATGAGTTGAGAGCGGAAAAAGTTCTTAAAAGTTGAAATCGAAAGATATCTGTCTCTCATTTATTGGAGATAGACTTTAACTAGGAAAGGTGACGATGGAGAAAAGAAAACTTGAATATAAGAGAAAAGTCAAGAAATTATTTAGGATCCGTTTGATATAATTTTTAAGAAGTCAAAAGCTAATTTTGACCAGTTTTGTTAGAAGAATTTTTAGAGGAACCTGATCAAATGTAATTTCTTCTAAAAGTTCTTTCGCAAGAAAAAAACTCTTTTAGAAATTAGTTTTAAACACTAACTAAGATAACTTTCTCAAAAAAAAAAAAAAAAAAATTACAAGAAGCAAAGCAAAAGTAAAGTTACTGCCAAACGGCCCCTTAGTGATATATGCAATTTGGAGATATTTTGATGGACTTACCATGTAATGGTCGATCTCAGTTCATCAATAGGTTATCGAAATCATATCAATTCTATTTGGATTATAAAAGAAGGTTAAGGTCTGGTAATACATTCATCATTTTTATGCAAACAACAATGATGTTACCGATGAGGAGAACACTGGTGGTCGTTTGAAAAGTATTAGGATCATCGAATGTATAGAAAATAGGGAAAATTCACAGTGAGATTTCAATAGGTCCCTCTTCTAGCTATGCATCGACGAAGCTCTTGATTGCGATGGTAGGCTTTTCTGAACTTTTTCCATACAATACTTGACGAGAAAATGTATTTTGAAGGGAGAAGCTTACAGATTGTTTTGAAATTGCAACATTTGATGAAGATTTCGTTTACAGTGGAGGAGAATAAAAAATACGAGTTGTTGTTTGAGATTTGGGGTAATGGTGGTAGCGATTTGTAGTGGCCGTGGACGGTGCAACGATGTGTGGGTGGTGACAACGACTGATTTTTGGGATGGTGTGGGGTGAGGTGAAGAAGAAAGATGATAAACAATTTTATTTTATCATATTTTTATTTGATTTTAATTATTTCAAGTGATATATAGGAATGAAATATACTTTTTTTCAATTAATATGCTAAATATTTCTGTTAAAACTTGCAAGTTGAAAATCGGGATTAAATAATATGTATATTTAGTAGGCTTGTTTTGTCAAATTGAATCAGCGTTTATTAAAAAGATTCCTCGTATGAACTTCTTGTATTGTCTACGATTATTAAATAGCTAAGACATGTACCTACAATGTTAAAATGAATATTGATTTATTTTATATTCGAGATCGAAGCGTAAGTCTTAACGCATGTAGTTGTATTGTTAAAATGACTAAATGGTATATTGACTTATTTTATATTCGAAATCGCAACATAAATCCTAACGTCCTTTAATATCAATAAAGTATTAATCGTAAAATCTTATCATAGGGTCGTCTTCAGTTAAGTTACAATTTCACCTAAGTAAATTCATCGCACTTTTAATAGTTGAATGTTAAGGCACTCATCGTTAGAGTATAACAACATAATACTTTTGATAAACTCATGGCACGAACGGTCAAATTATGAACTTTTGGTTCAATTCGAGTTTCATCAAACTAAAATGAAGTCAACTTTTTTCGTTCTAGTTTTGTACGAAGGGGCAGACACGAGTGGCATTGGGACCAGACACGAGTGGCATTGGGACCCACCACCACCGCCGCCACCACCCAACTTTAGGGCCAATTGTTTTTCCTATAATTTTTTCTCAATTTTTGAAGTCATTATGGAATATCAAATGAAATTGAAATATTACATTCTTAATATCATTTCGAATTACTCACAATCTAATTTTCTACTTCGTAATGGCGCACAAAACGATCAACTGTAACAAATGTTATAGCTTATCGAAATATGCTGTTTCAAACTAGTATTTCGAAAATTTTATTAACATGCTAACTTTAAAAAATTTTCGATGATCGTATGTTAGTCCGAATCCACAAATCGTCTATGTCATCTCGAAACTCGTTTCGAGAACTACGTCATAAATATATCGAATGGTCTAATTAGATATCGAAAATAATTAAAAATACGTCAAACTTACGTCTCAAAAAGAGGCGTCTTAACTCGTCTTTTTTTAAAAAAAATTTCAATTATTATTATTTTTGCGACACAAATTTCTCAATATAATTTACATTAAAAATTTTTGAACTTTACATCCAAAAAAATCATACAAAATGGAAATATTTAGATGTAAAATTATATAGGGTGATTTTTTTTTTTTAATGTAAAATTTCTCACAATTTTTTTTTCAAATTTGATTGTACCCCTAACGCAGAATGTCTACGTCTTCCCATGTTTGTACGTGACAGAATTTGGTTCGATTAGAAAGAATTAGGTTAGGGTTGTCCATGCCAAATTGCCAATTGATTAGGTGTAATGTTCTCGATGGGGTCCAATTGGGGCGTGCCATAGCCGGGGGTGGGCACCGATCAATTTCAATGCCGCTTCCTTTTCTTCGGCTGTGGATATTATAATTGTAGCGACGGCATTACTTAAAGAAAATCTATTTGTCTTTAATATTTTGAATTTTTTTGATAGTAATCTGATAAATAAAAAATGTACTTAGTAGAAATCGACATTGAATTGGGGCCCGAATATTAGGTAGCTTGAACACGTATTCAATTGCTTTAATACTTTATTCATGTAATGACATACATTATGACTCGTTTGTCAAGAATTTTGAAAGTCAAAAGTTATTTTTAACATGATCGAATAATTTTTGACAAGTGCCTTTTTTTTACAACGAAACGTTACGACAACAAGTGAACACAACTCTCGTGTTAATAGTGAATAAATCGGAGTTATATTTTAATTAATGACTTTTATTTTTCGTTCTGTGTTATTATTCTTCTCGATGATACGAGACACTACATATCATAATATCATTTATAGCATAACATCAAACCATGTTAAAGAAATTAAATATAGTCAAAAGGTTTGATTCCTATTTATATTCATGGTGCTACTTTGTATGTAGACAAGTCACAAAATATTTTTAATAGAAAATTTGTGTATAAGTCAAAACCTACCAAGGTACTCTATTAATTATTATTATAGAAATGTGTGGGTAAACAGAACAAGCTACTCCAACCTTGTTACAGATTATGTATTTAGATTGACAAAAAAAATAGTTTTGTTAAGACATAACATATTTGATAGGTCAAGGCCACAAGAAATATCTTAGTTTTTTTCTTGTGGAAATTACAGGGATCCCTACTTTTCAAGATCCAAG